ATTTTTCCCAAACCTTTTTTCCCAATTGTAATTTTTCCCAAATGTTTTCTTCCCAATAATATTTTCCCAAAACTTATTTTCCCAAATAATATTTTCCCAAAATAAAATTCCCAAAGGCAGTGTATCCCAAAATTTTAATTAGTCCCACTAGCACACTACAGCTGGAAGTGGTGGCCTAATGTCCTCAAGTAGTCCACCACGTTGTCGTAGGCCGCGAAGTCCTGGACTACGTTCCGGGTGCACTAGATAATCCCAACAAGGCTATAAGCGATGTAAAAATAGTAGATACCTGTCAGGGATTTCTCGCAGCTCCGGTAGTGATAAGGGGCTGCTGGACTGGTCACGCGCCCGCTCCCTCCGCATATTCTCCTTTAAATTTTCTCTTTCGGGAAGCTGGCTGAGCACCCCCCGAACATTTTGGTAGTTCTACCGTCACTACCTTCTTGGCTTGTACCTGTTCACGATTTGGTGCGTGACAATGCCCAATGCCCCTTCTCCTTTAGGACCTCCACGGCCCCGTTGTGGTGGCGAGTGATAGCGGTGGCCTTGCACTCTTTCTTTCTTGAGCAGGACCACTGGGTGTTTTCTTTCTTGCTGTCACGGTGGTAGTAGATAAAACCTTTATGCAACAGTTTCTTCCCCCCATTCCGTGAAACTATAATTTCTGCCGCTTCCTTCATTCCCACCCGCCGATAAACAAAAAGTACTGCCAACTCCCCAAATTAGACATTGGGAAATTCGAATTGGGAATTTATTATTGGGAAAATATCGCTTGGGAAAGAGTGTGCATTGGGAAAACTAAATTTGGGACGTTATTTTTGGGAATTTATTTTTGGGAAAAATGGGCGGGAACGATTTACAACTTTTGCCCTTCAACATTGCCAGGTGCATGTAATTTATAACACCAGCATTACATAGAAGAGCAGTACTTTTAGGTGTCAATGAAAACCTACCATCACACAAGCGATTAGGCAAGCCCGACCGCACTCGTGCCTGCCCAGGGCGCCTGAAGCCGAGGGAGTAGGCAACCCGACCGCACTCGTGCGTGCGGTACAGTATAACTACCATAACTACAGTAGGGCGCGGTGTTCATCACCCACTCAGAACAGTAAACAGAATATTGTTTGAACCAACAGTTGTATCTGTTATTGGCATGCATCTAAGACTCTAGATACCGTCTGCATCCAACACGTAGCTCAAACTTTGGTTTCAAATGCATTCCAAATGAAGAATTTTTATGAAGTTTGAATGCAACATAGCTTTACATACTAAATGCAGTTTTTAATAGATAACAATTGCAATTTGACTTCAGTCTGACTGCACTCAATATCTGCACTCCTAACTAGTCCGAACTACAGTCGTGAACTGCATTAAAACTGTGCAACGCGCGAAAAAACTATAGTCCGACTGTTGTAAAACTACAGAAAAAATGTAGTTTAACAACAGATTACTATAGTTGAACTACATTTTCACTATATCACCCGTATGCATTTTGAATCTAGTCAAAGAATAGTTTCAAACTAGATACTAGCTACAATACAAAATCTACATCATCCGCAATCAAAAAGTAGTCAATGTACACTTACACTGCAGCGGCAAATTTGGTCTGAGTGTAGTGAATTGCTATATTCCAAAATGCAGATCCTTCAACCCGGGCAAAAGTGCGTATGGAAGCCATTTCAAGTGTTTATTTGGAACCATATCGGTCGGAACGGATGCAAATAGGTAAACAACAGTCGACAACGTGTCCTGAGTAACCG